CTTAGTGAACGCAGGACTATAGGCAGACTATCAGGGTCTTTGATCATCCGTAAAACCCATTCTTAACAAATTCTCTTGAGAGTAGAAGTGGAGCAAATACTTCGTAAAGTACATTTATGACACACTTAATACCCCGAGGACACTGTCTGGTGAGGACACTTCAAGAAAACTACAGACTAGTATTTTTTCATGCACATAGACATAAAAATCCTTTACCAAAAATATCAGCAAATATGGGTAAAGTGGGTAGAGGGCTTGCCTTGCACGTGGCTGACCTGGGTTTGATCCCAAAACGGATCCCTGAGCCCCCTCCAGGAGTGATACCTGAGGACAGAGTAGGCCCTGAGCACTGTTGGGTAAGGCCCATATAATTAAGACATATGTGAAAAGGTTCAGGCACTATGATCAAGTGGTCTTTGTTCCAGATGCAAGGTCGGAATGTTATTTTTTAAAATCAACCCAATGTTGCTTTTCATATTCACAGGCTAAAGAAGAGAAATGAAAATTTCTAATGAAATTTCAATCAAAATCCCAGAAAAAATTCTGGTAGATATAGACAAGATTATTTAAAATGTATGCAGCAAGGCAAATAAACTTAATAGCTAAAATACTCTTGAAAAATGAAGTGGGAAGAATCACTTTTCTTCAGCTGTAGTAATCAAGATTGTAGTAAGAACAAAGGGACCCAAACGTAAATAAATTGAATGAAAGTGAACACCAGAAATTGATCCACCACAAGTATGGTCAGCTAATTTTGGGGGTGTAGGGAAAGCCACCCCCAATAAAGTTGTGCAGGGGTTGCTATTCCCAGTTCTGGAGGTGGGTGGAGGGGTGATTTGCATCCCCCGTCCTCACCCCTTAGTGTTTGGGGAACTATGTGGTACGAGGTTTCAAGCCCAGACTTGCCCCATGCGGAGCTTGTACTCAACCCTTGATCTGTCTCTCTGGTGCCTGGCTCCCAGCCCACTCCCGTTGGCGTTATTGACAGAAGTGCAGACGTAATCCAGTGAGGACAGAAAAACAGCCTGAATAACAAATTAGGTTGAATCACCTGGTTATTCATAAGCCAAAAGGAAAGAAAGAAAGAAAGAAAGAAAGAAAGAAAGAAAGAAAGAAAGAAAGAAAGAAAGAGTTCAGCCTAAATTTCCCACTTAAAAATTAACTCAGAAAATTTTCCATATGTAAATGCAAGTATAGAACTATCAGAATATAAAACAGGATAAAATCTGTATGACTTGGAGCTTGGTGAAGAGTCTTACGCTTGACACCAAAACATTATTGGTCGATTTGCTCAAGCGGGCCCAGTAACGTCTCCATTGGAGACTTTGTTGTTACTGTGTCTGGCATATCGAATACTCTCGGTAGCTTGCCGGGCTCTCCGAGAGGGGCGGAGGAATCGAACTCGGGTCGGCCATGTTGGCCGCTTGTAAGGCGAACGCCCTACCCGCAAATTTGATAAAGTGCATTTCATTTTTTAAAAAGTTTTAGCTGACTGGAGTGATAGTACAGAAGGTGGGGCACGTGCCCTGCTTGCAACTTGATCAGGGTTTGATTCCCAAGCACCCCTTATGGTCCCCCAAGTCTGCCAGGAGTTATCCCTGAGTGCAGAGGCAGGAGTGAACCCTGGGCACTGCAGGGTATGGCCCAAAATAAAATAAAATAAAATAAAATAAGTTTTTAATGTTCTTCCATAGTTCTGGTTAAGTGTATGAAAAGACCAGTTACTGACTGGAAGAAAGATATATATAAAGACAAGTAGAAAACCTAAGTCAAATAGTAACCTAAGCCCTGTGATATATAAAATATAAAAGACAATATATATCACATTTACTATACATTTATCACAATAAATCACAATGCGATATAAAGACAAATAGGAAATAGAAGATAGGTAGATATAGATGATATTGTTGGTCTGAATTTCAGCTTTTTCTAATGCATATTAGCTAGAGATAAATAAAATTCCATTGCTCTCCACGTTGCCTAGAATGGGAGGGCACTAGAATTGTGATGGGGCACGGGGAGGAGGGTTATCTACATAATTAAGACAGAGTAGCATAGTAGCATCATCACTCTGCAAGACAATTGAACAGGTATACTAACCTCCCTGGACATGTTTTGTACGCTTTTGCCTGGTATGCCTTTATGCCCACTCAATCAGTGCGGAATAGTGTTTGAGGACTCTAAGCTCAAATTCTAATATCCCATTTACTAGTTCTGTGGTCTTGGTCAAGTTGCTACCCTGAATCTCATTTTCCTTCTTTAGAAACGGGATAATAACACTCATCTGTGTACCCATTTCTAAGGTAAAGCTCAATTTAATATAAGAATATAATATAATAACATGAAAAAGAAATGTTTTAATATTGGAGGAAGATATTTAATATTAGTTGCAGCATCTCACCCAGCTGTCTGTCTGTGGTTCTGTGCCATTGAGAGTCCTCTCTTGAGGCAAAATCCACAGGCCATGTTGAGGAAAGAGAGACTGATGATAGATGCAAGCTGAGGTTAGAAGCCAGTCTAAGAGCTTCAGGTCTGGAGCAGGAGCAGCTTGGAACAAACTGGGGCAGATGAGAAAGTTGGTTCCTGAGCTGAGAACCACAGAGTCAAGAGCCGAAGGTTATGCCCTAGCAGGACCTCCTGCCATTTTCACTTAGGCAGGCTTCCTTTTAATTGATCCCCAAACCGTACATTTGGCAGTTCCTGCGATTGTTTCATCACATGCATATGTATTTTGAGATTGTTATCCCTATTGCATATTCTTTTTCATTGAGTATCATGGCATTAGCATTTTGTGGTATCTGTTTTGTTCTGAGCTCAAGCCTGGTGGTACTCAAGGCTTATCCCTGGCTCTGCACTCAGGGATCATTCCTCACAGGGCTCTGGGTGCTGGTAATCGAACCTGTAGGGGACCTTATGGGATGCTGGGAATGGAACCCACGTAGGCTACGTAAAGCAGGCGCCTTACCTGCTGTACTGTATGTATCTCTGGCCCCAGGTTTAGTATTTTTCTCATGTCACGATTCATGTTCAACTTCTTTTCATATCATTTATTTTATTTTATTTTATTTTATTTTTGCCAGACCCAGTGGCGCTCAGGGCTTCCTCCTGGCACTGTGCTCAGGGATCACTCCTGCAGTACTCAGGAGACCATATGTCGTACCGGGGATCAAACCCGGGTTGGCCGCATTGCAAGGCAAGCACCTTAACCCCTGTACTATACCTTCGCCCCTTGCCTCCCTTCCCATAATTAAACCTTTTAATGACTGCCAAATACCTCATTTTTGTGTGTAGCCCAGAAAGCACATCCCTATGTATTTACTTCTTTTTGCTTCCTTGAATTATTTCCTTAGAAAAAAATTCTCAGGTGTAATATTACTGAGCTGGGGTAGGGGGTGGAAGGTGTGGGTATGCAACTGAAATTTAACCACCAGAAATAGCGTTTGCTTTTCTAGGAAGAGAAACAAATAGCATTTTCTTTTCTCTTCCACACTGCGATGGGTGAGCTGTGTAGAACTGGACAGTCCAACATGAGAGCCATTAACCGCTTGTGACTTTTTAATTTTTGTTAAGGTAAAGGTAAAGGTAAAGGTAAAGGTAAAGGTAAAGGTAAAGGCCCTCCCGTTGATCATCGATTTGCTTGAGCGGGCCCAGTAACGTCTCCATTGGAGACTGTTGTTACTGTGTTTGGCATATCGAATACGTCACGGGGAGCTTGCCAGGCTCTGCCGTGCGGGCGAGATACTCTCGGTAGCTTGCCGGGCTCTCCGAGAGGGGCGGAGGAATCGAACTCGGGTCGGCCATGTTGGCTGCGTGCAAGGCAATGAAATTCACATTTCAGTTACTCAGTTGCACTACTTGCATTTCAAGTACTCGGCAACCTGTACCTTATTAGACTTGTCTAGCATCTACTGCATTGAAAAGCACTGACCTAGACATTTTCATCGCTTTGGAAAATTGACTGGATGATGCTATTCTAGAGAGTTTCCCCCCCTTTTAAACATTCTTCTTCTTTTTCTTTTTTTTTAAATTAAATTAAGACACCGGTATTTACAAAGTTATTCATAATAGGGATTCAGGCATACGGTGTTAAAGCACCAATCTTACTGTCAGTGCCAACTTCCCTCTGGCAATGCCCTCACGTTCCCTCCCACCCCCAGCCTGCCTATTCAACATGTGCATTTTAACGTTTGGTTGCTCTGGTTTGGGTCTCTTGCTTTCAGTACTGTTGGCTCTACGCCGCCAGTGTTCCTGAAGACCTTCACCCCTGCCTCTGTTATCTCCTGTCTGCCTCTTCTTACCCCCACCCCTACTCTATTTCTTTCCTTCCTTGTCCTTCTCATTTCTGTAATCTAGGCTAAAGGGCAATCTAGGTATTGTCCCTGCCCCCTGTTATACCTTGCATTCCCTTGTCTTGTCACTCTGTATGCCACAGAAAAGTGAGACCATCCACTACTTGTACTTCTTCTGACTTACTTTACCTAACATCTAACATCACATCCTCCAGATGAAGAGATTACAGTTGGCATCTAAGGTGGAAGTTGTCCCACATCGTGTAGTGTGGGACATTCCTGTGCATTGAGACACAGTCTCTGGCCCATGCCCACACAATGCCAGTAGCACTCTTTCTTGAATCAATTCAACAGCAAAACTGTCTCCATTTGAGGCCCATTAAATTTGTTATCTTAGAATGACGAATCCTCTAACTTTGGGAGATGGCTCTGCGTAGAGAGAGGGAGGCTGATAGAGCTGCCTGATGGGGAGCCAGAGCCATGTTACAGCAGGCAGGGCATTTGCCTTCCATGCAGCTGATCTGGGTCCGATTCCTGGCATCCCATATGGTCCCCCAAGCACCACCAGGAGTGATGAATGCAAAGCCAGGAGTAACCCCTGAGCATCATTGTGTGTGACCCCCCCAAACAACTACAACAAGCTTTGACAGATAGCTTTGACAGATGGCCTACCTCTGTACTCTATTCTCATTTCTCCACCCTCTTCAGCTGGTCTGTTTCCTGCTTTGGGGGTCATTTCAGGAACAAGACACTGCAGATGGAGAAGATCAAGGCCCGTTTGAAGGCTGAGTTTGAGGCCCTTGAGTCAGAAGAGAGGCACCTGAAGGAATACAAGCAGGAGATGGACCTCCTTCTACAAGAGAAGATGGCCCATGTGGAAGAACTCCGGCTGATTCATGCTGACATCAATGTGGTATGTGACTGACAGACTAAAAGCCTACCTCTGGGTCCTTAGTGGAACAGGTAGTAGTGAGTACTGTGACCTTTCCTTGAGGTGTGACTATCTTAGGGGAATAGGCATCAGAAGGCGACAGAGTGGACGAGACCAGGAGTTCTGAGATCCAACCCTGGCTCTCTCATTCTGGGAGTCTGGTAATTGAGAGTTCACTTTGGAGAAAAGCAGAGGCAGGCAGCTGACTCTGGGGTTGAGCTTAATGGGTTCCAAGGCTTCCAAATAGACCAAACAAATCATCTCTGCCTGCTTACCAATGTGGGGATCCCTCCGTAGAGACTCTCCTTTGGAAACTCTTTGAACGTGGGGAATGAAGTGCTCTAAGGTGATAGGGCCCTTGTGTGTTTGTTGGCCGCTCCCCTGGGCTTCAGTATTAGTGATTCCTTCACCAAAAGGGAGGGCAGAAGTGCTGACCTGTAAGGCTCTTCCCAAACCATATAATCTACAACAATGAGAAAAACCTTTGAATTTCATTGGAAAGAGTTAATTTTTTGTTTGGGGGAAACTCATTTCTGAGTAAAGGTTAACTTCCTGATAGTGCCAGATCTAGGATCTGAAAGAACATGTGGATGCGTTATGGACTTGGATTTGGTACTCAGAATCTTTTGTATCACTGATCACAGGAGTCCAGGATCTCGTGGGGAGTTGACAGTTCTGCTGCCAGCTAGCCGAGGATTCAGAATGTTGTTAACCACTGAGGGACTGAGATTCTAGGGCAGTGGATCTCAGCCAAACTTGAGCACGCATAAGAGTCACACGGAGGGCCTATTAAAATACAGATCGTTGTACTCCACTCCAGAGATTCTGATTCCTTGTTTCTGGGGTGACACCTGAGAATGAGATCCCTTGTGATTCTGATGCTACTGATATGGTGACCACACTTTGAGAACCACTAACTAGGAGAAAGACCACAGGCCAGCAGGCAGAAGCCATGAATGAGTCTTTTTCTATGTTCTGTCTCTAAGGTGTATTTTTCTGAGGAAGTTTATCCCCTCTGAGTGTCAATTCTCTCTCTGATATGGAGCTCCAAGGCCCATTCCACATCTAAGCTGTTATATGTGACGATTAACTGCCATTTATTGAGTCTTTATTCTATGTAAACCCCTATATGGGAAGCCTTTTTGTTTGCTTGCTTTTTTGTTGGGGACCACACCGAGCAATACTCAGGGTTTATCCCTGGCTCTGTGCTCAGGACTCACTCCTGGCAGGGCTCAGGGAACCATATGCGGAGCCAGGGATGGAAGTGTGAGTGATCCGGCCACATGCAATGCCTTACCCCCATACTATCATCTCTCCAGCCCTTTGGAAAACATTTTATGAGTCTGGTCGTTGGACCTTCACAAAGACTGTGAGGAAGGTGCTTCTGTTATCACCATTATACAGATGAAGGAAATGAAGGAACTGACAAGTGTTCGACAAGTGTTCCTTAGAATATAGTGGAAGGACTTGACCACGGGTTGATCTGGCTCTGAAACCTGTGTTATTATTGACTCAACTGTACAACCTCGCTGAATATTTTGGATTTCTTCACTGTGCCTGCCCCCCTCTGTGTTCCAGATGGAAAACACTATCAAACAGTCTGAGAATGACCTAAACAAGCTGCTAGAGTCTACCCGGAGGCTACATGATGAGTATAAGCCACTAAAGGAACATGTGGATGCCCTGCGCATGACTCTGGGTCTGCAGAGGCTCCCTGACCTATGTGAAGAGGAGGAAAAACTCTCCTTGGAGTAAGCTGCCTGCCCAATGTTCCTACAACATACCCCTCCCCACATAAACACAGACACACTTGTCAGAAAGCGAGGTTGTACACAACCCTGTCCCAGTCCTATCAGTGGTTGACTCATTGTGCACGTCTCTGGTCTCTGGGCTGGGCTGACACACTGAAAAATGGGACGATTAGACAGGATTACTAGATGACTTGAAAATTCTTTGTGCAATTTTGATAACAGAAGGTTTTATATGACTCTCTAAGTGGTCAGTCACTTCCCAAGTTAAAGTCTAGAAGGCATGACCAGAAATCGTTGAAGGGAACTTCATCTTAAAACCCAGGGTTAAGTACTAATGGTACAGAGAGCAAGTTCAGTTCATTAGAAGACAGCACACTTTCTTAAGGTAGAGTGTGGGCTGTCGGTGCAAGTGGTGAGCTCCCTAGTCCTAGAGGTATTGTCAGCAGAGGCCCAAGGATGCTTAATAGGAATACTGCGGAAGAATATGGACTGTTGAGTATAGGAAGACACCTACATATATCTCAAATTTATTTGTCTCCTGAGTCTGTCGGAATCAAGAAGCAGCAGGGGGGTTACCCTTTTCCAGCAGAAAATGGGCCCAGTAACCAGGTCGAAGATCCTGTGTAAGGGAGGGTACAGGAACTTTCTATATTGAGCCATGGCCGTATTCTCTCGGTTCCATGGCACGGCATTCTTAAGAGGGGCACGGTTCTCCTTGCTCTCAGAGTGATCTAGCTAATGTCTCTCATCTCCAAAGTTACTTTGAGAAGCAGAAAGCAGAGTGGCAGACGGAACCTCAGGAGCCTCCCATTCCTGAGTCCCTGGCGGCTGCAGCCGCTGCTGCACAACAACTCCAAGTGGCTAGGAAGCAGGACACTCGGCAGACAGCCACCTTCAGGCAGCAGCCCCCACCCATGAAGGTGAGTGTGCTAAGTAGGGGATCTGGGAGGAGTTAGGGTATCATCAAGTAGCCTTATGAAAGTCTGGGTCTGGGGTTTGGGCCTTACTTTGGGGGTGGGGCGGGCTTTCGGAAAATAACCAGAGAGGAAGGCGTGGTATGTGTGTTATGTAATGGAACCTCTGGCTTTATTGCCTCATACTCCGTGGTGTTTGACATGTAGGGTAGTATGCATGTTTTACTCAAGTGTGAATTTCATAAAGCTAGAACCATATCTCATACGACTATATAGTTAGTATTTATCATGTCTTGAGTTTTCCTCATTAGCATGAGAGGAGCATTGCAAGTTGGTTTTTTCCAAAAACATTTGAGTAACAGATAATTATATATATGTATATATATAAAATTATATATACATACATATATAGACAGAAAGAGAGAGAATTGCTGAATACGTTTCAAAGTTGAGTACAGTTTTATTTATTCTAATAGGGCAAAAATATCCCAATCTTTGTGATTATCTTTTCTTTTGAGCAGAGAAAATATCTGTTGGGCAAAAGCCCTTTACAATTTATCAGCGTGAATCACAGAAACTGGGTCAGTCATAGTCATTCAGGATCAGTATTAGTAGTACAAGGAAGGCACATCCTCCTTGAGTAGGAATCAGCAGACAGAACATGCGACCAAGTCTCACCTGCCTCTAATTTTTATGAAGAAAGTTTTATTGGTGCACACACATGCTAGTATTTTCTATACTTTTTTCTTGTAAAAATAACATTGACTTCTTGAAAGTAAGATAGTATAACTAAAAATCTACAGTATTTACTTTTCTTGCTTCTACAGAAAAGTTTACTTTTATGATTCTTGGAGAATTAAATAGTCATCAAGTGGATCTACCAGTCCATGGCACTGTATAATGCTAGATTGATATGCATTTCTCATTGTGTCTTATTTCCAGGTTTTAGATATATTGGTCTCTTTGATACTCACTTCGTGCATTCTTTCCATCCCTTACACCTTGTTCTGATACATATTCTTAGGCCTCACTTGGGGTCAGGATTAACAGTCCTGATCCTTTCTTTTCTCTGAGAAAGAATGCCAGCTGTTTATTGTCTTTAATATATTTAATAGTAAAAAATAGTAATTTAAGTATCATAACTTGTAATTTATTTTTATATTCCTGAAAGCAAATATTTCATTTATTTATTTATTTATTTTATTAGTGAAACACAATGAAGTACAGTTGTAGACTTACAAACTTAAGTGCTTGGGTTCCAGTTATACAATGACCCAGTATCCATCCCTCCACCTGTGCCCATTCTCCACCACCAATGATCACAGTTGTCCTCCCACATCCACAACCCATCCCCCCACCCTTCCCCATCTTTGTGACAGGGAAATCCCTTTTGCTCTCTCTTTGCTTTAGGGTTTTGTAGTTTGCAATAGAGGTATTGAGTGGCCATTGTGTTCAGTCTATAGTCTACTTTCAGCACGCATCTCGCATCTCGAGAGAATCCTCCAAACATCCTTTACTTGGTGTTCCCTTCTCTGTTTGAGTTGCCTTTTCCTCCAGCATGTGCTGCCGGCTTCCAAGCCCTGGAGCAGACTGCCTGGTACTTATCTCAACTATTCTTGGGTGTTCGACTCCCATTCTGTTACTTTATATTCCCCAGATGAGTGCAGTCTTCCGATGTCTGTCCCTCTCTTTCTGGCTCATTTCACTTAGCATGATACTTTCCATGTAGAACCACTTGTATGTAAATTTCATGACTTTATCTTTTCTAACAGCTGCATAGCATTCCATTGTGTAGATGTACCAAAGTTTCTATAACGATTCATCTATTCTCAGGCATTCCGGTTTTTTTTTCCAAATTTTGGCTCTTCTGAACAGTGCAGCAATGAACATAGAATTGCAGATGTCATTTCCACTGTACATTTTTACCTTTCCGGGATATATTCCCAGGAGTGGTATTGCTGGGTCAAATGGGAGCTCAATTTCTAATTTTTTGAGAAACATCCATACTGTTTTCCAAAAGGGCTGAACCAGTCAGTATTTCCACCAGCAGTGAAGGAGGGTCCCTTTCTCGCCACATCCACACAGAAACAGGTTGCTTTTTTTTCTTTTGGCTATGGGCCAGTCTGTGTGGTGTGAAATGATATCTCATTGTTGTTTTGACCTGCATCTCCCTGATGATGTATGTAGAGCATTTTTTCATGTGCCTTTTTACCATTTGGATTTCTTCTTTGAGAAAGTTTCTGTTTATTTCGTTGCTCCATTTTTTGATGGGGTTGGATGATTTCCTCTTGTGGATTTCAACCAGTTCTTTGTATATCCTTGATATCAACCCCTCGTCGCATAGGTATTGGGCGAATATCCTTTCCCATTCTGTAGACTGTCTTTGTATTTTGATCATTGTTTCTTTTGAGGTGCAGAAACTTCTTAGTTTAGGATAGTCTCATTTGTCTATCTCTGTTTTCACTTGCTTGGCCAGTGGCGTGTCATCTTTGAAGATACCGTTAGCTTCAATGTCATGGAGGGTTTTGCCAACCTTGTCTTCAATGTACCTTACAGAATCCGGTCTGATGTTGAGGTCTTTAATTCATTTTGATCTTACTTTTGTACAATATGATAGGTAGACATCTGAGCCGATTTTTTTTGCATGTAGCTGTCCGTTTTTGCCAGCACAATTTGGTTGAGGCTTTCCTTGCTCCACTTCTTGCTCCCTTATGAGAATGCTCCACATTCTTGCTCCCTTATGAAAGATTAGCTGATCACATATTTTAGGGGGTGAGGTGTCAGTATATTCAACCCTGTTCCATTGGTCTGCGGCTCTACCTTTGTTCCAGTACCATTCTCTTTTCATTACTGCTTCGTAGATTTTGAGGTTAGGGAGGGTTGAGAGTAGAGTTTGAGGTTTGCGAGGTTGATTCCTCCCATTTTCTTTTTCTCAAGAATTGTGCTAGCTATTCTTGGGTGCTTATTGTTCCATATGAATTTCAGGAGTGTTTGCTCCATTTCTTTGAAAAATGTCATGGGTATCGTTATAGAGATTGCACTGAATTTGTACAATGCTTTGGGGAGTATTGCCATTTTAACAATGTTAATTCTCCTGATCCATGAGCAGGGGATATCTTTCCATTTTCTCATGTTCTCTTTTACTTCCTGAAGTAGCGTTTTGTAGTTTTCTTTGTACAGGTTACTTTTTGTAGGAGTACTGCTATTTATTCAGCCACTGATTAGCTGATTAAATTGTGCATAAACTCCACCTTACTTTTTTCATTTTTTTTATAGTTTTATTTATTGAATCACCGTGAGAGCAGTTACAAAGCTTTTGGGTCTAAGTCTCGGTCATACAACGAAACACCCATACCTTCACCAGTGCCCATTATCCACCACCAAAAACTCTAGTATACCCCCATTCCACACCCTCCCCCCACCTGTGGGGCAGATGATTTCCACATAACTCGCTCTCTACTTTGATCACATCAATATTTCGACACCAGACCCACCATTATTATTTGAGATTTTACCCCAACACTCAGATATGCAGAAAAGGCAACAATAGACAATTTGTGTTCTATTGCTGGTTATGAATAACATATGATGTCTCATGGCTGCAGAAGGGCCCTGTGATTTTGAAATTCCGAAATTTTAACACTTAAATCTGGAGGGATTTCTGCCAAAAGTCACTGGGTTTCGAGATTTGCTCCTGAGTCTCTGGGATCATGGCTGTTGAGCTGCTTGATCAGGAGCCAGAGAGGCCGTTCGTGGGCGATGACTTGTGGTCTCGTTGGGGTGGGGAGGACAGGCCCGGTTCCACCCCATCCCCTGAAGCCCAACAAGTTTCGTCACTGCAGGCCCAGGCTTGACTGTCCAATGGCCTCTGGAGGATGGCGGCCACCGAGCCGCCAGGGGGAAACAGGCGGAGGGACAGCACCCTTCCCCCCTGGGGTGGCCTGGCGACGGTAACCTACTGCAGGGTCCGGACACATTGCTGCCAAAAGCCGCTGGGTTTCAAGATTTGTTTCTGAGTCTCTGGGATCAAGGTCATTAAGCAGCTTGATCAGGAGCCAGAGAGGCCATTTGTTGGCGATGACTTGGGGTCTCGTTGGGGAGGGGAGGACAGGCCCGGCTCTCTCCCATCCCGTGAGGCCCAACAAGTTTCATCACTGCAGGCCCAAGCCTGACTGTCCAAAGGGCTCTGGAGGATGATGGCCATTGAGCCGCCAAGAGGGAGCAGGTGGAGTGACAATACCCTTTCTTCCCTAGGGTGGCCCAGCGACAGTAACGTACTGTGGGGTCCAGACGCATTTCTGCCAAAAGCCACTGGGTTTTGAGATTTGTTTCTGAGTCTCTGGGATCATGGCCGTTAAGGAGCTGGATCAGGAGCCAGAGAGGCCATTTGTGGGCGATGACTTGGGGTCTCGTTGGGGTGGGGAGGACAAGCCCGGCTCCACCCCCATCCCATGAGGCCCTGTGTGTCTCGTCACTGGCGGCCCAAACCTGACTATCCAGTGGCCTCTGAAGGATGGCGGCCACTTGGCCACCAGGGGGAACAGGCCAAGGCACGAAACCTACTCCCACCTGGGTTGGCCCAGCACCAGTAACCTACTGCAGGGACTGGACGCATTTCTACCTAAAGCCGCTGGTTTCCAAGATTCGTTTCTGAGTCTCTGGGATCATGGCCATTAAGCAGTTCAATCAGGAACCAGAGAGGCCTTGCCTCCAATTATATAGCTGAGCCTGAGGTGGTTTGTGCGTGTGTTTCCCACATACCTAACTTTTGGCTGTTTACTTTCTTGGTAAACTTTGCCCCAAGTTTTTGGGGTCTGGCCAAAGGCACAGCAGAAATTTTGGGGTATCTGGAAGTCTGAAGGCGCCATCAGGCTGCTGATGCACTCGCCTCACAGGTACAGATTGACCTGCTGGCGGCACCATACTCCCTGTACAGGTTTTTTACGTCCTTAGTTAAGTTGATTTCTAGGTACTTGATTTTCTGAGGCACGATTGTGAACGAGATTGTTTTTTTCATGTCACTTTCTTCTCTCACTATTTGCATATAGGATATTGCATATAGGATATTTGCATATAGGATATCCATGGACTTTTGGATATCGATTTTATAGCTTGCAACTTTACTATATAAGAGTATTCTTTCTAGTTGTTTATTGGTAGAGGATTTAGAGTTTTCTCATTATAATATTATATTGTCTGCAAATAGTGGGAGCTTGATATGTTTCATTCCTACCTGAGTACCCTTAATACCTTTTTTCTTTCCTAACCACTATTTTGAGTACTTCCAGTACTATATTGAACAGCCGTGGAGAGAGTGAGCGTCCTTGTCTCATCCCTGATCTTAGAGGGAAGGCTCTTAGTCTTTCCCCATTGAGGATGATGCTTGCCATAGGCTTGTGGTAAATGGCTTTAACTATATTGAGGAAAGTCCCTTCTATCCCCATTTTGGTGAGGGTTTTCATCATAAAGGGTACTGAACCTTGTCAAATGCTTTCTCTTCATCTATTGATATGATCATGTGGTTTTTATCTTTTCTTTTCTTGGTATGATGGATTATGTTGATTTTTGAATGTTAAACCATCCTTGTATCCCTGGGATGAATCCCACTTCGTCGTGGTGTATGATCTTTTTGATGAGTTGTTGAATTATATTTGATAGTATTTTGTTGAGAATTTTCACATCTGTGTTCATCAGGGATATCGACCTGTAGATTTCTTATCTTGTGGTGTCTTTTTTTCCTTTTGCTATTAGGGAAATATGAGCCTAATAGAAACTGCTTTGGAGAGTTTCTGTTTCTTCATTTTCCTGGAAAAGCTTGAGAGGAACTGGCAATAAATAGGTCCTCTTTAAAAATGTTTGGAAGAATTCACTAGTGAATCTATCTGGATCTGGGCTTTTGTATTTGGGAAGACTTTTGATTACAGTTTCAATTTCCTTGATATTAATAGGTCTATTCAGGTATTCCAGATCTTCTTGATTCAGCCTTGGGAGGTTATAGGAATCCAGAAATTTATCCATTTGTTTTAGGTTCTCTTGTTTCGTGGCATACAGACTTTCAACGTAATCTCTGATGATCTTCTGAATTTCTTTGGTTTCCATTGTGCTGTCCCCCTTTTCATTTCTGATTCGGTTTATTAGAGTTCTCTCTCTCTCTTTCTTTGTGAATTTTGCATGGGTTTATCAATTTTGTTTATTTTCTCGAAGAACCAGCTCCTAGTTTCATTGATCTTTCTGATTTTTTTTTTTTGGTTTTTGTGTCGTTGACTTCTGCTCTAAGTTTTATGATCTCTTTCCTTCTGTCTGGTTTGGGCTCTTTTTGTCAATCCTTTTCTAAGAACCTGAGCTGTAAAGTCAAGTTGTTTATGTGGGCGCTTTCTTTCTTCCCGAGAAATGCTTGCAGAGCTATAAATTTTCCCCTTAACATGGCTTTAGCTGTGTCCCACAGGTTCTGGCAGTTCATATCTTCATTCTCATTTGTTTCCAGGTGTCTTTTGATTTTGTCCTTGACTCCCTTCCTGACCCACTCGTTGTTCAACATTGAGTTGTTTAATATCCTAGTGTTTGATTTGGTTTTCTGCATCTGTACATGATTAACTTCTATCTTCAGTGCATCATGGTTTGAGAAGTTAGTTGATACAATGTCTATTTTCCTGATTCCGTTGTGGTATGCTTTGTGGCCCAGCGCATGGTCTATTCTGGAAAATGTTCCATGTGCACTGGAAAAGAATGTATATTCTTTTGGGGGGAATATAAAGTCCTGTATAGATCTATTAGCCCTCTCTCTACTATTTCTTCCTTCAGTGTCATTATTTGCTCGCTGAGTTATAATCTTCTTGATCTATCCAGAGGTGATAAGGCGGTACTGAAGTCTTCAAGTACTATTGTGTTGCTCGCAATGTCCTTCTTAAGGTCTGTTAGCAGTTTTTTTAGATATTTAGCTGGTCCCTCATTGGGTGCATATACATTTAGGAGTGTCATTTCTTCCTGCTGTACATATCCCTTGATTATTAAAAAATGTCCTTCAATGTGCCTTCCAATCTTTTTAAACCTGAAAAATATGTTGTCCGATACTTGTAAAGCCACCCCAGATTTTTTGAGAGGATTGTTTGCTTGCAGAATTGTTTTACATCCTTTGACTTTGAGTGTGTGTTTGTTCTGACTATTCATATGTGTTTCTTTGTAGGCAGCATAGTGTTGGGTTCTGTCTCTGAATTCATTTTGCCACTCTGTGCCTCTTAATTGGTGAATTTAGACCATTGACTTTGAGAAAGATTATTTCATGGGGTTTTTTTCATCTTTCTGTAAGGGTTTGTTTTGTTTGTAGGGGTTTGTCTTGTCTTACAGTAGCCCCTTTAGTCCTTGTTTTAGGTTTGGTTTTGAGTCTATGAAGTTCCTGAGCTGTTGTTTGTCCAGAAAATAGTGTACTCTTACTTTGAGTTTGAGTGAGAGTTTAGCCGGATAAAGTATTCTTGGTGAAGCATTCATTTCAGTGAGTTTTTTCACTATATCCCACCATTGCCTTCGGGCTTGGAGAATTTCCTCTGATAGGTCTTATGTGAATCTAAGTAGTGCACCTTTGTATGTGATTTCTTTCTTTGACCTTGCTGCTTGCAGTATTGTGTCTCTATCCATGGCATCCATCATTCTAACTATGATATGTCTTGGAGTGTTTTTGTTAGGGTCTCTTTTAGCTGGCACCCTTCAGGCTCCTTGAATCTGGATGTCTGCATTCTACAGCTCTGGGAATTTTTCAGCAATGATTTCTTTAACTGGCTTTTTCATTGGGACTGTTTCCCTGACCTTCTGTTCCTCCAATAATTCTAATGTTGTTCCTCTTGAAATCATCCCCTCGGACTCTGATTCATTCTAGAGCTATTTTGAGGTCTCTTCCCTTTGTTTGTTGTTGCCTGTAGGCTTGCTGCAGTTCATCTTCCAGCTCACTGATTCTGTCTTCAGCTGTAGCCATGCTACTGTTGAGGGCACACACTGAGTTTTTTATTTCATCTACCGAATACTTTATTTATGACATTTCTGTGCATAGCTTTTTAATTTCTGCTCTCATTTCTTTCTGTAATTTCTTGATTCTCCTATCCATTGTTTCTTCCAAGTCCTCCTTTAATTTACTGGATATCTGTCCCACCGTTTGTTTTAGTTCATTAAACATCTTCAATAGTTCGTCTCTGAATTCTTTATCGGAGAGCTCACATTTGTGAGTAACACCTGTTAAGGCTTTTGGACTCTTTTCATAGTCCACTCCTAGTGGTGGGGATTTGCTCTATTTCTTCATGTTGTGGTGGTGTTATGTACACTGATATTTGACACCAGATTGCTGGATATGGGTAAAATAATTGCGATCACAAAACCTGCCACCAACCCCAAAACAGGCCACGCCCACTTCTGCAGAGGCACTTCCTATGGGTACCTGGGAGAGGGAGAAAACTGGCCACGGCATTGGGGACGAATACGAAGGTGCTCGGAGAGGTGGGCGGCCCAGGGTCCTCCTGACCCTTTCTGTTGGGAAACCACAGATGTTTACTGGAGCCCCTTGGATCAGATTGGTGTATGATGATCTTGAAGAGAAGTTCCCAACATTATTTGTCCTACTGCCTAGATTTTATGAAACAAAACAAAACAAAAATACTTCTCAGTATCCACCCTGGAAATCTACCTTCTTTAGAGAAACAGGAAAAGCACACCCCTCTCCAATTTCACCCAAGTTGACTACTGCCTTGGATTGTGCCAGCAGCCCATCATCCCATGAGGGAGGATTGGGTGTGGCAGTATTACCTAATTTGGGAAAGACTGGCTTAGTAGACTCTGACCACTAATTGTCTTTATCGTTTGTCACCCACCAGGCCTGCTTGTCATGCCATCAGCAAATTCACCGAAACGCACCTATATGCCCTCTGTGCAAAGCCAAGAGTCGGTCCCGGAACCCCAAAAAGCCAAAGCGGAAACAGGATGAATGAAGAGAAGGGTGATACTTAGAGCTCTGCAGCTCATAACACCTCCCCTTGGCCAGAGTGATTGATGTCCTGATGTGAAGAAACACTTCCCCAACTCTATCCAGTCTCCTATTTAATATGATGGAAGCACAACCCCATTCTCACAATCCCTTTTTCTTATTTCTTTCTGAACTTGATGGTATCTGGTTTAGGAAAAGGTTTGGTTTAGGTGCTAATGACAGTATGAGTGCTTTTGCAGACTCCTTGTCTCACAACCACACCCACATTTCTCCAGCCTTTCCCTTGTTTGGAGCTCAAAGAAGGGCAAAAAATCCCACATAGGTTTTCTCTGTTTCTTGTGTCCAGGACCTAGGGTCTTAAATTCTGAGCACTGGTGGAGGCCCAGATCTTGTTTCAGAGGAAGGCCCCATAAAGCCCATTCCCTATGTTTTTTCCTTTGGCTCCAAGAGGATAACAGTCCTCTTACTGGACTTTACAAAAGGCTTGATGCATATATCTTCCTCACTTCCAGTCTCGTCTCCTCCTCAAGGTCCATAGGTGTCCTGGACATGCTCTCCTTTCATACTTATTTGGGAGACCCAAATAAGTAGAGTTCATTTCCATCACCAGTCTCTCAGATATACTAAAGTTCTCCGGTACCTGGCTGTGTGTCTGAGTATCCTGAGATCTGCATGCAAGCCTTTCTCTTTTATAAACGTAGCCTTTCTTTGCAGATCAGTCCCCACAGTGAAAATCAGGGAGCTCTGTCCTGCCTAACTTCCTGCCCTAAATCATTGGGCTTAATGGGTCTGCTGTTAGGGCTATTTTGTCCTGAGAGGAGTCCTAGGATGTCATCTGTGTTGCCTTTGGCTTAAAGTTACCACTATGGCACTTAATAGTATATCTTCGGAGTCAGTGGAGTGGGTAGAGATTCATGTGAATGTTGATTATTTTACACCTACAGGAGAGTAGGATACCTTTTCCATTCATTTGTGCTTTTCTGGGGCCTGACCTCTTCCATTAAGCAACCTTGACTCAGCTTGGCTGCTGGCTGCCCCTTTTCTGGTTGATTATGTAATGGCATTCCCTCCCCTCCCTATCTGCAAGAAAAGACACCAAGCTCCCCAGGCCCTACAGCTCCTCTCCCCCATACACTCCTTCTACCCCCCCACACCAAAGTTAGAACTCTAGTTGAGTCAGTTTCAGAGAGGGGGGCTGACTGACTGAACATATCTTAGCTCTAGTTCTCAGTCCCTGTAAAGGTGCGGAGTATGTTTTCCTTCCTTAGTTTTCCTTCCTTAGTTTTATGTTGCCACAGTGTCTGTGTGTTCATAGTATAAAAAGTTCTTCCACTTTTTTAAAACTGAGAGTGTGATGTTCTTACTGATCATTTAAAATAAACATTTGATCATTGGAATAAATGTTGACTGAGTGAATGCCTATGATGATCAGGTATAATATTTTTTTCCTCTTCTGGGGAAGAGACAGCACCTCTTGGTATAAGATACTGAATGATTTCAGAGATTCTTGGTAAAATTCACAGACTACTTACCACATCTTACAACAACAGCCTTGCAAGAAACATTATATGAATGGTCATTTTTACAGATACCAAAACTGGGACTCAGAAAGGGAGAAGTAACTGCCAATAAACACATAGGAAGAGGCAAACTCATTCTGTATGCCTCCATAAACTGTGTTCCAGGATTAAAGAGGGAGGAGAAGGAAGAAAATTAGAGTGAAAGAATAAATCAAGAGGGATGGAGGAGAAAGAAGGAATAGAAGGAGAGTAAGTTACTTGTTATATTGTTAAAATAGTTAACATTTAAATCACCTTGTTCAACATTCACATTTGATGCTTAGATTAATAACCCTGGACTGTTTGTAAAGCATGCATTATCATCCACGTATTACAAAAGAGACCCAGAGAGAATAACTGAATTCCCCAAATTTAAGCAAGTAAGAGCAAAACTATGGGATCTAGAGATAGACAGGGATTGAGGTGCTTGCTTGCCAACCAGTTGTATCCATGGCACCACATATGATCACCAGGAGTGATCCAGAAGATACGTCCTGAGAATAGCTGGCTGTGACCCAAAAATCCAAACAGAATAAAGGAACCCCCTGCTCTGGAAAATATAGAAAGAAGAAATGGCAAACAGGCAAGCAGGCAGATAGATGTGGGGGTGGAGTGAGGGTGGGACTAGCAATAGTGTCCTCAGGAAGTAATAAAACCATGATATGATTCAAAGAATTTTCTCTGGCACTAGCCCTAATTTAGCCCCAAAAAACATGAAGGCCAGACTCACTTTGTGGACACATGAACTGAGTTCTACAAGACTCAGCTGGTAGCAGCACTGGCCCCGAGATGGCGAGAAGCTCTCCAGAGAAGAAAATTTCAAGCAGAAATTAAAGGCTGTGATAAGAACATGAAGGTGAAACACTAAAATCTGAAGCTCTTGTCCTTGGCAACACTAGCAACAGCCTCTTACCTACACAGAAAGCAGTTTGGGAGCAAACCTATAAAACCAGATTTTTAAAGCCTAGTGGAGAGCATGCCTTCGAATTCTGGGAACGAGCAGTATCTCAACTTGGGATATGTAATTCCTTTCTTTTACTCATGGCTTATACTCTGTTTTCTCAACTCTGGAAAAACTCAAGTACTTTCTTAAACACTTTACTCTCTTTCCTTCCTCATCTCTCTAAATAAAACTGTTTTTAATTTACTATTCATCTCCTCATGAAAGTCTTTCCTGTGAGAGAAAATAGTAGACATGTAAAGAACCTGGGCAATGATTAGTACTTATCTTCCTTTATCTACAAAACAAATCCTCCACTCAGGGTTTCACAGCTCTTTGAGAAATCAGGTCATGGTCACGGTCCTCCCATTATTCATCGATTTACTCGAGCAGGCCCAGCAATGTCTCCATAGTGAGACTTGTTCTTACTGTGTTTGCATATTGAATACGTCACGGGTAGCTTGCCAGGCTTTGCTGTCCTGGCAAGATACTCTGGGTAGCTTGCTGGGCTCTCCGAGAGGGGTGGAGGAATTGAACCCAGCTCAGCCAGGCTAGCTGCGCTCAAGGCAAACGCCCTACCGCTGTGCTATCGCTCCAGCCCAAGTGTGGATTAATTCTCATGCTATGTAGAAAACAGTCTGACAGAGGTGTAATCTGAAGGTTGCCTTGTCGGCAATGGGGAGACACAAGTATCCACGGTGCTCAAGTGTTCATGGCAGACTTTCTCAGTTCTTTCCATGCAAGCACTTTTCTGGGTACTGAGGCTGTGAGGCTGGTAGAGAGGAAAGCTATAAATTCCCTTCACAGCTACAAACCTTTCTTTCCCCAGTTCAAGTAAGTCACCTGCAACAAGTGGATTCCTCCCAACAATTTTTGTCACGCTTTACCAAAAATGAAAATGAGATTTTAGAGAGACTACTAACATTCTACCACCAAGATATGAGTTACACTCAGATCAGTCTATCTACAAACTGCCATTTTCCCATACCTATGCTTCATATATAAATACAGTTGTGAGAGCCCAAGTGATATTGAGGTTACACTTTTCACTCTACTTGATTGAGGGGATAGGAAAAGAAGATGACCAACTGTGCAGTGTTAAAAACCAAGGTGAGGTTCAGGACCATAAATGGAAAACATATCCATGCTACACAAGTCTGGAACCTGTATTCAAGACAAAACAAGAGTGGTCTAGATTTGGGGTTCTCCAAGCAGTATGGAGGAAGGACAGGAGACAATCGGAGATGAAGGTATTGGACAATGAGATGTTGAAACAGAGATTAGGTCAGGAGTGGATGACTGGACCTAGAGAGGATTCTTTTATTCCCGAAGGTTCAGAAATAGGTGTGAATAGGAGACCGAGGGAAGGAAGAAGAGGAATACTGGAAAATATAATAGTGGTGCAAAAAGCAGAACGTATACATGGAGTTTTATGATTTAAGAAGCTCAGCTGTGTTGAATGTGGACAGAACTGGGAGTTGGATAGACTGAAGATGAAGGTCAACAGGTTTGATCTGTAATTACAGAAAAATTCTTTTTCTTATAAGAAAGTCTCAGTAAACGTAAGAACTGCACAGGGTTCACCCTTAGTCCTCCTATGTGATGTGTGGATCTGGATTTCCTCCAAAACAATTGACTTGCCCCAGGAATTTTAGCTCCTTAATGACAAACTCCCCACCATAAGTAATAGATGTGCAGGTCAAAAGAACTCTTTGGTCATGTTGGGGGACAGGACCATTTAGAAATGGCCCAGGTAAATGTCCAGCAAAAGACATCTGACTGCATATGAATAGGGTTAAAGAAGGCATCAGGAACCTCCAATAACCTGGAAATCATGAGGAGAACTGACATAGGTTTAATATTTCCCTTAGTTTAAGAATAAGTCAGACTAAATTACTTTAAATTCCCAGTATTACATTCTAAGGTTGAAATTGACCAAGACAATGGAGTCTAACTGAGATTGTTTTTGAAGCACTAGGGTTTGTTGATGTTTACTTCCCTGGGTGGATAGAAAGAGCTATTGCGTTTCTTTTATTATCCTAAAGTCAAATGATCTGGTTAGATAATATAGTGGAGACTGCTAAAAGATCTAAACTGCTTCACCGCCTATCATACATTGTCTTAGGCTCTCAAGCAAAATTGAAACGGGAACTTCTCCACTCTTCTAACCAACAGGAAAAGAATGAATTCATGGCAATTGACTTAGAATATGTGCTGGACCAGGAGATAGATCAATGAATAGAGTATATGCATAGAATGTTGGTGACACTGAGTTAATTCCCAGCACCCTCACACCACTGCCAGAGTATAGTCCTGGTGTCCGCCTGCACACCAACAGGCTGTGCACTGAACCATCATGAGGAATGCAATGCCACTGTAAGAAGTAGTCCCAGATCTTAGATGCACCAATATGGGTGACCCCTATATGATCACTTGATCACTTGACATCCCCTTACTCATCGATTTGCTCGAGTGGGTGCCAGTAACGTCTCCATTCGTCCCTGTTGCATGCTAGTGTAGCCCAAATGCGTCTGCTCATTCTAGAAACACTAACAAACTCAGACCTAGGTTCAGGGTCTTGAAAAAGAAGTCTGACCATCTCGTAGGTGGGAGGCCACGCGATCTTTTGACGTCCCTTGGAATCCAGTCACTAACGGCTCTAGTCCAGTGGTCATCTCCAAATCTCATTACGTGACCAACCCATCTGATTTTCAACACCTTGGCAAACAAGACAGCGTCCCTGATTCTTGAGTGTGGACGGAGGTCGGAACTCCGGATTCTTTCTCTCATTTGAGTGAAGCGTGATACTCCAAGCATAGCTCTTTCAATTCCTCTTTGGGAGACCCAAATAGCATACTCATCCTGTTTTCATAGGGCCCAACTCTTAGCTATTTCTTCTACACTCTTGAAGGCATTCCAAGTCACTCTCTCCTGCGCAACTCAGGTGCCAGGTCTTTCGTCATGTTGACTTCTCGACCTATACTCAACTCTCGGTACACATAACTGTTGCATTCCAAGATGTTCATACTGTTGAGAGTGAATGGAATGTCAGGAACAAGACCGTTTCTCATAAACATCATCTTTGTGAGATTCAGCTGTGGTTCGACCTTTCCACATTCATGGTCAAAGTCGGCCAGCTTTTGTGCTGCTTGGCTAATGTTTGTTGTTATTAGAAAGATGTCATAGCAAAACGGAGGTGGTGTAGCTGCTGACTGTCTATCTTCACTCCCATTACTTCCCATTCCAGTCGTCACATGACGTTCTTGAGGGCGACACTGAAGAGTTTTGATGAAATGGTATGACCCTGCCGAATCCCTCTCTTGACTTCTTTGTAGAATTGTGAGATCCTCGTAGTGAATTCGTAATACAGCTCACAGAGGATCCTGATGTATTGAGTTTGAAAGCCCTGTTTGGCTAGGGCTTTGATGACTACTTCCATCTCAACAGAATCAAAGGCCTTCTCTAAATCAATGGACGTTGGAGAGAGAGGCATCTTTTTTTTTTAGCTTTTTTTTTTTAGATTTTATTTTTTTATTAAAAAAATTTTTTTAATAGTGAGACATCATGAGGTACAGTTGCAGACTGACACATTTTTGTGCTTGGGTTTCAATTATACAATGATCAAGTACCCATTCCTCCACCAGTACCCATTTCCCACCACCACGGATCCCAGTATACATCCCACCCCCCCATCTCCCCCATCCGAGTGCTACTAAATTTTTTTTTAATTTTTTTTGTTTGTTTGTTTCTTTTTTTTTTACAGTTGTAGATTTACAATTTTTTGTGCTTGGGTTTCGATTATACAATGATCAGATACCCATCCCTCCACCAGTGCCCATTTTACACCACCATGGATAATATCCCCCCACCCCCATCCCCCCATCCCCCCCTGCCTCTGTGCCAGGGCAATCCCCTGTGTTCTCTCTCTCCTTTTGGGTGTTGTGGTCTGCAAAAGAGGCATTGAGTGGCAAACATGTTCAGTCCATAGTCTACTTTCGACATGCATCTCCTCTCCTGGGAGGATCCTCCAAACACCCTTTATTTGGTGCTCCCTTCTCTATCTGAACTGCCCTTTCCTCTAGGATACCCGGCTGGCCTCTAAGTTATGGAGTAATCCTCCTGGTGCTGATCTCAGCTATTCTTGGGTATTAATCTCATACTTTGTTACTTTATATCCCCCAGATGAATGCAATCTTTCTATGTCTATCCCTGAGAGAGGCATCTTGAACTCCCAAGAAACCTCAATGAGCATAGTTATCGTGTGGACATGGTCGATTGTGCTGAATCCTTTTCGAAAACCGGCTTGCTCGCATGGTTGTCCTTCATCTAGTGTTCTGACAATTCTATTCAGGATGACTCGAGTGAACAGTTTGTAGACAACAGACAACAGGCAGATCAGGCGATAGTTGCCAATGTTGTGGATGTCTCCATTCTTGCACAGTAGTACAGTCCTTCTGGTTTTCCATTGGGATGGAAACTTGCATTCGGACAGGTGGTGTGTGAAGAGTCTAGCCAGTGTATTGATAAGTACCAACGACAGATTCTTCAGGTGTTCGGGTCTTACCTTGTCGGCCCAGGTGCTGTTTGCTTCTTTACTGATGAAATGGCGTGTCGAATTTCAGAAGGGAGAACATTAGGAACAACATATCCATCCTGTGGAATTTGGTATGTGGGCAGGTAGATGTGGCTATTGAAGAGATCTGAGTAAAACTCATGGATAATCTTCTCTATTGCCCTTCTGTAAGTTGTGATAGATCCATCAGGACGTCGGAGGGCAGTCATGTTGGTCTTGTAGTTGGTGTAGGAGAGGCGGGCCTTGGGAAAGCTTTTCCCGGTTTCTGCCGCATCTGCCAGGACTGCTGCTCTTCAGTCTTTGAGGTCTTCCTTTGTCACTACTCTACACTCCTTTGCGAGCTCAGACGTTCGCTTATGGTTGTCTCAATCTTGTGCGAAGCCACGTTGGCGAATAAGCTCAAGAGTTTTCGAAGACAGATTTTTGTGTGTGTGTGTGTGTGGATATCTCTCTTTTTGCATTCCTCGCACAATCATGGAAGTGCTGAACCAGTTGATTGTATTTCTCGTCAATGTTGTCAATGACGGCATCTTCCCATGTTGCCTCAATAGTGCCAAAGAGCTCCCAGTTGGTCGTTGTTATGAGAATTCTCTTTTTAAACTTTGAAGCCCTTTCCCACCTCCGTGAAGTAGAAGTTTGCACGAAGGAGACAGTGGTCCGATCCCATTTGTAATTTTGGGACAACAGCAACATTGGTCAGGCAAAACCACCAATTGACTATGATGTGGTCAATTTCTTTGTGGAACCGTCCACCGGGAGACTCCCAAGTCCAAAGTTTCGATTCAGCCTTCTGGAAATGTGAGTTACCATAGATGGTCTTGGTGGACATGATGAACTCAGACAGTCTCTCACCCTCTTTGTTCCATTCTAGGCCACGGGACCCCTATTTAAAAAATGAATTAAATTGATGTATCAAGAAACGTCATTAATATATCAGTAATCACTCTTCATGTTGCATTCTAGGATAGCTATACATTTCTACATATCATTAAATACCATAGTCATTCTTCTGTATAATTATAAAAGATCTTACAAACTGGGTCTGCAAAGTTCCCAAAGTTCAGAATGTTAAGGCAAAATGCCAAAAGTTAAGTAAATTAAGACCAAAGCAAGGAGGCCAAAGATATATTACAAGAGTTAAAGGGCTACCCTTGCATGTGGCAACGACCTATATGCCCACACCACATGTGGTACCCTGAAAAACACCAGGAGTGAACCTGAACACTGAACAAGAAGTGTGAACATAATTGGGTGTGAGCCAAAACACAAAGTAAAAAACGAGAGGAAAAATTAATGAATGTTAAGAAGGATGTTGAATCAGAGAATAGGTCATTATTTGTATTTATAATGAGATATGGTGATATGTATATTAAATGTGAAATCTATTGTCATTTCCTATTTTATAATGAGTGTGAAGATAGTTGTTCATCAGGGCTTAATAACTATTTCTCCTCAACCATTACTGTGAGTATGAGGCAAAAAAAACAGAGGATCCATTACATAACACACATACCACGCCTTCCTCTCTGGTTATTTTCCGAAAGCCCGCCCCACCCCCAAAGTAAGGCCCAAACCCCAGACCCAGACTTTCATAAGGCTACTTGATGATACCCTAACTCCTCCCAGATCCCCTACTTAGCACACTCACCTTCATGGGTGGGGGCTGCTGCCTGAAGGTGGCTGTCTGCCGAGTGTCCTGCTTCCTAGCCACTTGGAGTTGTTGTGCAGCAGCGGCTGCAGCCGCCAGGGACTCAGGAATGGGAGGCTCCTGAGGTTCCGTCTGCCACTCTGCTTTCTGCTTCTCAAAGTAACTTTGGAGATGAGAGACATTAGCTAGATCACTCTGAGAGCAAGGAGAACCGTGCCCCTCTTAAGAATGCCGTGCCATGGAACCGAGAGAATACGGCCATGGCTCAATATAGAAAGTTCCTGTACCCTCCCTTACACAGGATCTTCGACCTGGTTACTGGGCCCATTTTCTGCTGGAAAAGGGTAACCCCCCTGCTGCTTCTTGATTCCGACAGACTCAGGAGACAAATAAATTTGAGATATATGTAGGTGTCTTCCTATACTCAACAGTCCATATTCTTCCGCAGTATTCCTATTAAGCATCCTTGGGCCTCTGCTGACAATACCTCTAGGACTAGGGAGCTCACCACTTGCACCGACAGCCCACACTCTACCTTAAGAAAGTGTGCTGTCTTCTAATGAACTGAACTTGCTCTCTGTACCATTAGTACTTAACCCTGGGTTTTAAGATGAAGTTCCCTTCAACGATTTCTGGTCATGCCTTCTAGACTTTAACTTGGGAAGTGACTGACCACTTAGAGAGTCATATAAAACCTTCTGTTATCAAAATTGCACAAAGAATTTTCAAGTCATCTAGTAATCCTGTCTAATCGTCCCATTTTTCAGTGTGTCAGCCCAGCCCAGAGACCAGAGACGTGCACAATGAGTCAACCACTGATAGGACTGGGACAGGGTTGTGTACAACCTCGCTTTCTGACAAGTGTGTCTGTGTTTATGTGGGGAGGGGTATGTTGTAGGAACATTGGGCAGGCAGCTTACTCCAAGGAGAGTTTTTCCTCCTCTTCACATAGGTCAGGGAGCCTCTGCAGACCCAGAGTCATGCGCAGGGCATCCACATGTTCCTTTAGTGGCTTATACTCATCATGTAGCCTCCGGGTAGACTCTAGCAGCTTGTTTAGGTCATTCTCAGACTGTTTGATAGTGTTTTCCATCTGGAACACAGAGGGGGGCAGGCACAGTGAAGAAATCCAAAATATTCAGCGAGGTTGTACAGTTGAGTCAATAATAACACAGGTTTCAGAGCCAGATCAACCCGTGGTCAAGTCCTTCCACTATATTCTAAGGAACACTTGTCGAACACTTGTCAGTTCCTTCATTTCCTTCATCTGTATAATGGTGATAACAGAAGCACCTTCCTCACAGTCTTTGTGAAGGTCCAACGACCAGACTCATAAAATGTTTTCCAAAGGGCTGGAGAGATGATAGTATGGGGGTAAGGCATTGCATGTGGCCGGATCACTCACACTTCCATCCCTGGCTCCGCATATGGTTCCCTGAGCCCTGCCAGGAGTGAGTCCTGAGCACAGAGCCAGGGATAAACCCTGAGTATTGCTCGGTGTGGTCCCCAACAAAAAAGCAAGCAAACAAAAAGGCTTCCCATATAGGGGTTTACATAGAATAAAGACTCAATAAATGGCAGTTAATCGTCACATATAACAGCTTAGATGTGGAATGGGCCTTGGAGCTCCATATCAGAGAGAGAATTGACACTCAGAGGGGATAAACTTCCTCAGAAAAATACACCTTAGAGACAGAACATAGAAAAAGACTCATTCATGGCTTCTGCCTGCTGGCCTGTGGTCTTTCTCCTAGTTAGTGGTTCTCAAAGTGTGGTCACCATATCAGTAGCATCAGAATCACAAGGGATCTCATTCTCAGGTGTCACCCCAGAAACAAGGAATCAGAATCTCTGGAGTGGAGTACAACGATCTGTATTTTAATAGGCCCTCCGTGTGACTCTTATGCGTGCTCAAGTTTGGCTGAGATCCACTGCCCTAGAATCTCAGTCCCTCAGTGGTTAACAACATTCTGAATCCTCGGCTAGCTGGCAGCAGAACTGTCAACTCCCCACGAGATCCTGGACTCCTGTGATCAGTGATACAAAAGATTCTGAGTACCAAATCCAAGTCCATAACGCATCCACATGTTCTTTCAGATCCTAGATCTGGCACTATCAGGAAGTTAACCTTTACTCAGAAATGAGTTTCCCCCAAACAAAAAATTAACTCTTTCCAATGAAATTCAAAGGTTTTTCTCATTGTTGTAGATTATATGGTTTGGGAAGAGCCTTACAGGTCAGCACTTCTGCCCTCCCTTTTGGTGAAGGAATCACTAATACTGAAGCCCAGGGGAGCGGCCAACAAACACACAAGGGCCCTATCACCTTAGAGCACTTCATTCCCCACGTTCAAAGAGTTTCCAAAGGAGAGTCTCTACGGAGGGATCCCCACATTGGTAAGCAGGCAGAGATGATTTGTTTGGTCTATTTGGAAGCCTTGGAACCCATTAAGCTCAACCCCAGAGTCAGCTGCCTGCCTCTGCTTTTCTCCAAAGTGAACTCTCAATTACCAGACTCCCAGAATGAGAGAGCCAGGGTTGGATCTCAGAACTCCTGGTCTCGTCCACTCTGTCGCCTTCTGATGCCTATTCCCCTAAGATAGTCACACCTCAAGGAAAGGTCACAGTACTCACTACTACCTGTTCCACTAAGGACCCAGAGGTAGGCTTTTAGTCTGTCAGTCACATACCACATTGATGTCAGCATGAATCAGCCGGAGTTCTTCCACATGGGCCATCTTCTCTTGTAGAAGGAGGTCCATCTCCTGCTTGTATTCCTTCAGGTGCCTCTCTTCTGACTCAAGGGCCTCAAACTCAGCCTTCAAACGGGCCTTGATCTTCTCCATCTGCAGTGTCTTGTTCCTGAAATGACCCCCAAAGCAGGAAACAGACCAGCTGAAGAGGGTGGAGAAATGAGAATAGAGTACAGAGGTAGGCCATCTGTCAAAGCTATCTGTCAAAGCTTGTTGTAGTTGTTTGGGGGGGTCACACACAATGATGCTCAGGGGTTACTCCTGGCTTTGCATTCATCACTCCTGGTGGTGCTTGGGGGACCATATGGGATGCCAGGAATCGGACCCAGATCAGCTGCATGGAAGGCAAATGCCCTGCCTGCTGTAACATGGCTCTGGCTCCCCATCAGGCAGCTCTATCAGCCTCCCTCTCTCTACGCAGAGCCATCTCCCAAAGTTAGAGGATTCGTCATTCTAAGATAACAAATTTAATGGGCCTCAAATGGAGACAGTTTTGCTGTTGAATTGATTCAAGAAAGAGTGCTACTGGCATTGTGTGGGCATGGGCCAGAGACTGTGTCTCAATGCACAGGAATGTCCCACACTACACGATGTGGGACAACTTCCACCTTAGATGCCAACTGTAATCTCTTCATCTGGAGGATGTGATGTTAGATGTTAGGTAAAGTAAGTCAGAAGAAGTACAAGTAGTGGATGGTCTCACTTTTCTGTGGCATACAGAGTGACAAGACAAGGGAATGCAAGGTATAACAGGGGGCAGGGACAATACCTAGATTGCCCTTTAGCCTAGATTACAGAAATGAGAAGGACAAGGAAGGAAAGAAATAGAGTAGGGGTGGGGGTAAGAAGAGGCAGACAGGAGATAACAGAGGCAGGGGTGAAGGTCTTCAGGAACACTGGCGGCGTAGAGCCAACAGTACTGAAAGCAAGAGACCCAAACCAGAGCAACCAAACGTTAAAATGCACATGTTGAATAGGCAGGCTGGGGGTGGGAGGGAACGTGAGGGCATTGCCAGAGGGAAGTTGGCACTGACAGTAAGATTGGTGCTTTAACACCGTATGCCTGAATCCCTATTATGAATAACTTTGTAAATACCGGTGTCTTAATTTAATTTAAAAAAAAAGAAAAAGAAGAAGAATGTTTAAAAGGGGGGGAAACTCTCTAGAATAGCATCATCCAGTCAATTTTCCAAAGCGATGAAAATGTCTAGGTCAGTGCTTTTCAATGCAGTAGATGCTAGACAAGTCTAATAAGGTACAGGTTGCCGAGTACTTGAAATGCAAGTAGTGCAACTGAGTAACTGAAATGTGAATTTCATTGCCTTGCACGCAGCCAACATGGCCGACCCGAGTTCGATTCCTCCGCCCCTCTCGGAGAGCCCGGCAAGCTACCGAGAGTATCTCGCCCGCACGGCAGAGCCTGGCAAGCTCCCCGTGACGTATTCGATATGCCAAACACAGTAACAACAGTCTCCAATGGAGACGTTACTGGGCCCGCTCAAGCAAATCGATGATCAACGGGAGGGCCTTTACCTTTACCTTTACCTTTACCTTTACCTTTACCTTTACCTTAACAAAAATTAAAAAGTCACAAGCGGTTAATGGCTCTCATGTTGGACTGTCCAGTTCTACACAGCTCACCCATCGCAGTGTGGAAGAGAAAAGAAAATGCTATTTGTTTCTCTTCCTAGAAAAGCAAACGCTATTTCTGGTGGTTAAATTTCAGTTGCATACCCACACCTTCCACCCCCTACCCCAGCTCAGTAATATTACACCTGAGAATTTTTTTCTAAGGAAATAATTCAAGGAAGCAAAAAGAAGTAAATACATAGGGATGTGCTTTCTGGGCTACACACAAAAATGAGGTATTTGGCAGTCATTAAAAGGTTTAATTATGGGAAGGGAGGCAAGGGGCGAAGGTATAGTACAGGGGTTAAGGTGCTTGCCTTGCAATGCGGCCAACCCGGGTTTGATCCCCGGTACGACATATGGTCTCCTGAGTACTGCAGGAGTGATCCCTGAGCACAGTGCCAGGAGGAAGCCCTGAGCGCCACTGGGTCTGGCAAAAATAAAATAAAATAAAATAAAATAAATGATATGAAAAGAAGTTGAACATGAATCGTGACATGAGAAAAATACTAAACCTGGGGCCAGAGATACATACAGTACAGCAGGTAAGGCGCCTGCTTTACGTAGCCTACGTGGGTTCCATTCCCAGCATCCCATAAGGTCCCCTACAGGTTCGATTACCAGCACCCAGAGCCCTGTGAGGAATGATCCCTGAGTGCAGAGCCAGGGATAAGCCTTGAGTACCACCAGGCTTGAGCTCAGAACAAAACAGATACCACAAAATGCTAATGCCATGATACTCAATGAAAAAGAATATGCAATAGGGATAACAATCTCAAAATACATATGCATGTGATGAAACAATCGCAGGAACTGCCAAATGTACGGTTTGGGGATCAATTAAAAGGAAGCCTGCCTAAGTGAAAATGGCAGGAGGTCCTGCTAGGGCATAACCTTCGGCTCTTGACTCTGTGGTTCTCAGCTCAGGAACCAACTTTCTCATCTGCCCCAGTTTGTTCCAAGCTGCTCCTGTTCCAGACCTGAAGCTCTTAGACTGGCTTCTAACCTCAGCTTGCATCTATCATCAGTCTCTCTTTCCTCAACATGGCCTGTGGATTTTGCCTCAAGAGAGGACTCTCAATGGCACAGAACCACAGACAGACAGCTGGGTGAGATGCTGCAACTAATATTAAATATCTTCCTCCAATATTAAAACATTTCTTTTTCATGTTATTATATTATATTCTTATATTAAATTGAGCTTTACCTTAGAAATGGGTACACAGATGAGTGTTATTATCCCGTTTCTAAAGAAGGAAAATGAGATTCAGGGTAGCAACTTGACCAAGACCACAGAACTAGTAAATGGGATATTAGAATTTGAGCTTAGAGTCCTCAAACACTATTCCGCACTGATTGAGTGGGCATAAAGGCATACCAGGCAAAAGCGTACAAAACATGTCCAGGGAGGTTAGTATACCTGTTCAATTGTCTTGCAGAGTGATGATGCTACTATGCTACTCTGTCTTAATTATGTAGATAACCCTCCTCCCCGTGCCCCATCACAATTCTAGTGCCCTCCCATTCTAGGCAACGTGGAGAGCAATGGAATTTTATTTATCTCTAGCTAATATGCATTAGAAAAAGCTGAAATTCAGACCAACAATATCATCTATATCTACCTATCTTCTATTTCCTATTTGTCTTTATATCGCATTGTGATTTATTGTGATAAATGTATAGTAAATGTGATATATATTGTCTTTTATATTTTATATATCACAGGGCTTAGGTTACTATTTGACTTAGGTTTTCTACTTGTCTTTATATATATCTTTCTTCCAGTCAGTAACTGGTCTTTTCATACACTTAACCAGAACTATGGAAGAACATTAAAAACTTATTTTATTTTATTTTATTTTATTTTGGGCCATACCCTGCAGTGCCCAGGGTTCACTCCTGCCTCTGCACTCAGGGATAACTCCTGGCAGACTTGGGGGACCATAAGGGGTGCTTGGGAATCAAACCCTGATCAAGTTGCAAGCAGGGCACGTGCCCCACCTTCTGTACTATCACTCCAGTCAGCTAAAACTTTTTAAAAAATGAAATGCACTTTATCAAATTTGCGGGTAGGGCGTTCGCCTTACAAGCGGCCAACATGGCCGACCCGAGTTCGATTCCTCCGCCCCTCTCGGAGAGCCCGGCAAGCTACCGAGAGTATTCGATATGCCAGACACAGTAACAACAAAGTCTCCAATGGAGACGTTACTGGGCCCGCTTGAGCAAATCGACCAATAATGTTTTGGTGTCAAGCGTAAGACTCTTCACCAAGCTCCAAGTCATACAGATTTTATCCTGTTTTATATTCTGATAGTTCTATACTTGCATTTACATATGGAAAATTTTCTGAGTTAATTTTTAAGTGGGAAATTTAGGCTGAACTCTTTCTTTCTTTCTTTCTTTCTTTCTTTCTTTCTTTCTTTCTTTCTTTCCTTTTGGCTTATGAATAACCAGGTGATTCAACCTAATTTGTTATTCAGGCTGTTTTTCTGTCCTCACTGGATTACGTCTGCACTTCTGTCAATAACGCCAACGGGAGTGGGCTGGGAGCCAGGCACCAGAGAGACAGATCAAGGGTTGAGTACAAGCTCCGCATGGGGCAAGTCTGGGCTTGAAACCTCGTACCACATAGTTCCCCAAACACTAAGGGGTGAGGACGGGGGATGCAAATCACCCCTCCACCCACCTCCAGAACTGGGAATAGCAACCCCTGCACAACTTTATTGGGGGTGGCTTTCCCTACACCCCCAAAATTAGCTGACCATACTTGTGGTGGATCAATTTCTGGTGTTCACTTTCATTCAATTTATTTACGTTTGGGTCCCTTTGTTCTTACTACAATCTTGATTACTACAGCTGAAGAAAAGTGATTCTTCCCACTTCATTTTTCAAGAGTATTTTAGCTATTAAGTTTATTTGCCTTGCTGCATACATTTTAAATAATCTTGTCTATATCTACCAGAATTTTTTCTGGGATTTTGATTGAAATTTCATTAGAAATTTTCATTTCTCTTCTTTAGCCTGTGAATATGAAAAGCAACATTGGGTTGATTTTAAAAAATAACATTCCGACCTTGCATCTGGAACAAAGACCACTTGATCATAGTGCCTGAACCTTTTCACATATGTCTTAATTATATGGGCCTTACCCAACAGTGCTCAGGGCCTACTCTGTCCTCAGGTATCACTCCTGGAGGGGGCTCAGGGATCCGTTTTGGGATCAAACCCAGGTCAGCCACGTGCAAGGCAAGCCCTCTACCCACTTTACCCATATTTGCTGATATTTTTGGTAAAGGATTTTTATGTCTATGTGCATGAAAAAATACTAGTCTGTAGTTTTCTTGAAGTGTCCTCACCAGACAGTGTCCTCGGGGTATTAAGTGTGTCATAAATGTACTTTACGAAGTATTTGCTCCACTTCTACTCTCAAGAGAATTTGTTAAGAATGGGTTTTACGGATGATCAAAGACCCT